ATGAACAAACATCATGTAAAATCAAAGCCGTCATATGCCTACCTTCAGACCGTCTCTTCCCTGGTGGTGAAATATATCTAAGAATGCTTGAAACTGCTAACACCACTTTCTAAATAGAGAATGTTATTGCTCACCCCATACTACCTACTACAGCGCTTCAGAAACCACTGGGCTGACTTCGTTTCTGACACCTTGCCCTCTCACTGTTGAAATGTGTTGAAAAAGCTAGCAGAGTATTTAGATACACTATTCCATTTTCTTTTCCTTGGACCAGTACAAAACTAGGACCAGGTTCTAAGATGCAACACCAACAGCGTGTAGTGCTGATGGCTTGTGATGCTGCCTTTTGACTTTTGATGGAATATTGTGTAGTGCTACCACACGTGGAAGGTTTGGCATCAGTTTCCTACAGAGATGTTGCAGAAAGCCCAAGCTTATAGATTTGTGTAGGGCTCTTTCCGTTCCCTTCTGAGGAGGCACATTCAGTGATGTTTCTGTGTTGGATGCTGTGCTATGGTGAGCTCATGACCTAAATCTTAATATTCCTGGAATAAGGTCCAGCCTAGCTCCGAGATTACTTTTTCCTTTGTGTGTATATATATATATATTTTATTGTTTTTTTAATATTAGAGTCTTTGGGATCTAGATAACTATTGAAGAAAGTTGTAAGGCGTAAGGTTGGGGATTGCTGGCTTGGCCTACCCAAGGAACTCACTTTCAGATATGCAAGCAACTGCAAATCTATTTCTTTGTAAAACTAAATGGCCTCAGTTTGTATTTTCATCCTACTAATGACTAGCCACCAATGAGCTGCAGAAGTGTGTGAGTAGGCTCAAATGAGCAATTGGAAATCCCGGATGTAACCTGAAATGTTAAGCTAGTTATTTTACAATCTGTCTGGTAACAAAGAGTTACTTTAACATCCCAGGAGCCTTTCCAGCATCCTGTGACGTTATTTCTGCTACTCTTGCACTTACAACTCACTGGATGATTTTCACATGCTGTATGGCCTTTTCTTTGCTTCTCCATCCTTTTCATGTGTCATTGCTGCTGCAAAATAATTTCTGCCATATTCTCTGTGCGCATTGTTTCAATGGGCTTTACTTTAAAAACAAAAAAACTGCTTGCATGGTTATCTCATGAAGGTAAGGGAGAAAGCAGTGAAACCCTTAACTGAAAAGGAGGAAAATAGTGATGTAAACAGTAGTAGCTGATGCTCCATGTGAAAATGGAAGGAAATAATGGAGAATTAAATTGAGAAGAAAAATATTTCCTCTCTTTACTCTCCATGTGACCTTTAAGAATTCAAAATAATGCTCTTGCTTTCTTGGCATTTTTAATATAATTTTAAAATATTTTAATTCCTCTGTTACAGCACCTGGAGCCATATGGATGAAAAATGAAAATACCTACATTGACATTACTTTGTGTTCATTTAAAGCAAGGACCACAGGCTCTGCTTCTTACCAGCTCTGTTCAGTGCTTGTCACTAGTTCTTAAGTGAGCAAATGTGTGTCCTTGCCTCTTTGCCTTAAAGGAGACTTTACAGACACTTCCACGTTAGTAATTAAAAATTAAATCTCAGGGATCCTGACTTCTTACCTCTTGCTTTACAAAAGACAGTGGTGGGGCTGTACTCTGTGGTCTCTTTAGTTCTCTTTAGTCAAATTCTAAAAATCCCTGAATAACTGGATGCCTGCTTCATATTTTGAAACCAGCTTACTAGCTCAGTAGTAACTGTTGACATCTCTTTATTTTCAGGAGGAGACCAAACCTGTGCAGATGATGTTCAAGAAGGACAAGTTTAACATGACCTATATTGGGGACTTCCAGACAAAAATCCTTGAGCTCCCTTACATTGGTCATGAACTCAGCATGATCATTCTGCTCCCTGATGCAATCCAGGATGAATCTACTGGCTTGGAAAGCGTAAGTTGTTGAGCAAAATGCAAAGACAGTCTGTATCATTCCAGGGAAGAAAGTCTGATACCGCATATAGACCTGAAGTTCAATTCCAAAGCTATTATGTCACTGGTGCTCATCACTGGCTGAAATGTCCCACACCTCCTTGCCCCCAAAGTGATTGGCATGTCTTGTGTCACTACTGGTCAAGCTGTGTGCTGCCCCCTTAGCCAGAGGCTCTAGAAGAAGACCTGACCCTCCTCAGGAGCAGAGGTTAGCTGTGATTATGATGAAGGCATAGAATGGGGTGAGGATCATATGTGGTGAAGGGGGATTTGCGGGAGCTCTTAGAAAGCCCTATAGCTTGTCCCATCGATCTTCTATTCTGAACAGCTGGGAGATTGTCTCTGGCCCAGCGCCTGGAAACAGACTCGCAGGAAAGTGTAGGATCTCTCCTGTTGCGGAGATGTGATAGAAGTTTTGGCTATTTCATGCTCTGGACAAGGAATTTATTAATAAAGTTTCCTAACACCAACTGCAAAAGGCATTGTGAGCAGACTTTGTCATCAGCCTGTCAACCTGAAGGAGGATCCTTTGGTTAAGAGACAGAATTGGGTTCAGTTCCTTTGGGACATTATCATCAATTCTTCTGTACCTTTGCTTCCCATATGTGTAGTAAAAAAAACAAACAAAAAAAACCCAAACCCAAAAACAAACAAACAAAAACAAAACCAAAAAAAAAACCCCACACCACAAAACAAAAAACAAACCCATCTAACAAGTTTTATAAAAGTCAACTTCATCTGGAAGGGACTGATGCTGATACTTTAAACCCTGGAAAAAAGATGCATGTTATGTGCTATGTAAATAAACACAGTAATCACTACTTTTGGCTGTGTAAAACTGACTATCTTCTCATTTTAATTACATAAACTTTGGGTTTTTCTTTAGCTGGAAAGAGAACTTACGTATGAGAAGCTGATAGATTGGATCAATCCTGAAATGATGGACTATACAGAGGTGAAGGTGTCTTTACCCAGATTTAAACTGGAAGAAGATTATGATCTGAAACCCCTTCTGAGCAGCATGGGAATGCCTGATGCCTTTGACTTGGGGAAGGCAGACTTCTCGGGAATCTCAGCTGGCAATGAGCTGGCGCTCTCTCAAGTGATTCACAAGTCCTTTGTGGAAGTCAACGAAGAAGGCACTGAAGCAGCAGCTGCCACAGCAGGAGTGATGCTGCTGCGCTGTGCAATGATTGTTCCAGAATTCACTGCGGATCATCCCTTCCTCTTCTTCATCCGGCACAACAAAACTTCCAGCATTTTGTTCTGTGGCAAATTTTGCTCTCCCTAAAAAAGAGACTTCTTTGCTGAAGAGCTGCCTTTACACAGTAACTTTCTGTTTCTTTAGAATAGGGCTACTTGTTTTTTGCACTAATTGCCTTGAATAGAGCTACTGTTTTTGTGTGAATTGTCTTTCAGCTGTGCCTGTATCTGCTTCTCCAGTCTTCATTTCATCTTGGCTAGAATAACAGAGCTAGTTACCCATACGCAGCCACTGCCGTTTAAAGCAGCTCTTGCCCTGTGCAGCTGAGAGCAGAGGTCTAACTTCTTGCTGACACAAGAAACATCCCTCTTGCTCAGGGAATGCTTCATCTGTCCTTGCAGTTCCCATTGCAACTTCACTTTTTGTGGCCATCAGGCAATGACATCTTGCAGGAAAGGAAGAAGTTAATCTTGCTTCTGACTAGGCTGGAGCACATCTTTAGCTCCCCTTCCCTTTTTCCTCCCATCCCAAGTTTGGGTTTTTTTGGGGGTTGTTTTTGTGTGGTTTTTTTTTTTTGTTTGGTTGGTTTTTGTTTTTTCTTCCCAACTCATCCATTTAATGTCTTGATACATTCCCTACAGAGGAAAGGAGTCTTTGGCAGCCTGTTCAAAGTGTTGCTAAGCAGCCTGACTAGACAGGGTTTTTTTGGTTGATAACTGAACAAGCACTTAGGCAAGAATGGAAATAAAAGTATGTCTTTGCAGCAGATGCCCTTATAGAATAATTTTTTTTTATCGCCACAGGACATTGTTTTATCACCACACATTACCTGTCACCTACTTTATTAGTCCTTTATTAAAGAATGTAATGAAAAAGCATAGGATGTCTATGCATATTTAAGTGATAAAGCTTTAAATTTTTGCTATTGTTACATATTTTTCCTACTCATAGTTTCTTAAACAGTTTAACTGAATAATATCAAAGATATGCTGAAATAGCTTTCCTAATACAGTGAATTGTTTTGCTGTGCCTGTTCATGAAATAATAAAAGAACTGTTAAGTGCTGTAGTACTGTCTTTTTTTTCAACCATAAATTAGGCAATTTTTTTATCTGTAGTATGAAGAAAACGGTTATTTCTCGATCAACTGCAACCAGCCTCTATGTAGCTTGTTTGAAATTGATTGCTAAACATGAGATTTTTCTGAATACCGTAAACCTAGGGTACATACTTGCCTTACCACGAAGTTTGGGGTTGGCCTTGCAAGGACGTGTAGCAAAGAGCCTTTACGGCAAAGCAAAGGGGTCCTGAGCCAAGTGTTTGTTTCTGGCGAGGACTGCAATGCTACCTCTTGTTTTTGTGCACAGCTCCCAGTCAAGGGTTGGTGGCCTTTGTCCAAAGTGTGCTAGATTGCCCTGTGCTTAATTTGGTGCACAGTGAAGAACTCGGTGAAGAAATAACAAGCATTATTTGAAGGAGGGGATGGACCCAACAGTTTAGTCACCAGGATGCCTGTCATGCACCCAAAGCCGGAATGGGCCCTAGGGGTGGGGTGTGTGCCTGGTGGCCAGATCGAGAGCTGAGGGAGGGGAAAAAAAACCCACCAAATATCAGATTAAACCGAAGGCAGCCCTCCGTGCTGTTACTCTACATTGAGGCAAGGGTGACCTAAACGGCGAGCACACGCAGAGCAGCGCGATGGGAAGGCAGAGACGCCCTGCCCCGCTGTGCTTGTCACGGGGCGGGCGGCGG